CATTAGAGTATCACTGTTATTTCTACGTGTCTCTTAAAGGCACTCCCAACTACCAGTTTCTTCTCTATATTTTTGAAGTTATTGTTTTGTAACTTTTGTTTGTCTGTGCTCTGTTGGTGATTAACATTATTAGCTCTAGTTGGTTGGACCTTTTGCAACTACGCGCTAGGTCCCAGAGTTAAACATTTTATACTTTCATTTAATTCAAGTTCAAATTTAAACTTGATTATGTTTCTTGACCCAAGTAGTGGTGTTGTGGTTTTGTTTTAAACATGGGCTGCTTATTTAAAATAGAAAATAACCCAGAGGTGTGGAAAATACTTGGATTAGAATATTTTCTTTGATACCCTTTGCAACCATTTTGCCTTATATATATGCGTAATTGCCTATCTCAAGAAATTTCTCCATTTTTTTTGGTCATCTGGGATGCCCTTTATTGATTCATCTTCTTTTTCTTCCCAGTATCTGGACTTTCTGGAAGCAAAGAAACTGCTCAAAGTCAGGTCTCTGTTGGAATGGGGTTGCTTGCTGGGTCCACTGTGATGCTTCTCACGGTTATATGGGGTTCTTGTGTTGTGGTTGGTAAGTGTGATCTTCAGGATTCGGTTGCAGTTGATGGAACCAATTCAAAAGGATTTAGCTTAACAGGTGAGTGAAAAATACTTCAAAAACAATTCATTAATTAGTTATCTACTTGATGAGCTGTTTTAGCATACATGCTGCAGAATCTCAGCGCATATTACAGAACTCTCATTGAAACTTTGAAGGGAGGCTATTAATTGGTAGCATCTGATCTTGTTAATAAATTTTTAAAACCTCACAAAACCTTTTATTCTTTGGTGATGAATTGTTGATTATATAACTACCTTTCATACTACATTTTCATATTTACCTGTGAAGTGGCAAGGCTTGTTACATGGATTCAGGAGATCGAGTCTGATATCCACTAAGAAGCAATTTATCTGTATTTGAGGGGAAAAACAGACATCCAATCACAGATGCCTGACCTCACGTGACTCTTGGTTAACTAGTGAAGAAATTAACTGATTAAGTTCTACAGGCTGGTCCCTGATCAATATTGTGCAGGTACTGGTGTCAGTACTGATATTTGGACTCGCTATGCTGCATGGATAATGGCTGCATCTGTTATACCTTTTATTGTTGTTCAACTGTCGCAAATTCACAATTCAACTTCAGGAAGACACTTAGCTGTCTTGATTTCACTTATTTTGTCTCTCGCAATGCTGGTTTCTTATTGTCTTTATCAGGTAATTTTAGTTTTTAAGCAATATTTTTTTATCATGTGTTATGATGAATATCTTTCTTTTTCTCCTCTAATTACTTGAAACAGCCTCTTAGTACTCTTATTCTGGCAATATTGGCAGAAGGAAACTGGGATGATGTCTTTGACCAAATTAGCTATGTTCTTCTTTCTTTACACTACAAATTTTCTGTTTTAAAGGATTTCTGTTGGTTAATGACAGGTGAGAATGTGTTGTTGACCTTTAGGCATAATAAAAGGTCTTTTAGTATTTTGGTCAATGGACAGGCCAAGTAAATTACCTCCATTAGTCTGGAATATTATTCAATATTTAGGATAAGGGTGGTGGCTTGTTTAACTCTTGTGATTAGTGTATCAGGTGAATAGAGCGTTTTAGAAGTTGTGATTCCTTTGGTAAGGAAGCTGATGCAAACTGATCTTTTAAGATCTTTGTAGACTTTTGTATCATGTGAATGGTCTGCTAGTGCTAGAATTTTTCTTCCATTTCCCTGGTTTTGGTTTCTTTAGGCCTTTTTTTATTAATGCTTATCTCTTCTTTGATATTGTGTATTGTGCAGGTCTTTCAGCCCTGGATCCAGAGGAGACGAATTGCCTATGTGAAGCTCAAGCATGTGATGTCGGGAATCCTAAAGCGCCTGAAACAGCAGGCTCTAGGAAGGCTCCTGAGTGATAAAGGAGAACCTAAGGAGGATGTCATAGAAAAGTCAGTTTTGCAGCTTGACATTGAAGAGAAAGCAATTTCAATCTTTATGATTTCTTCTTCGTACAGCTTAATCAAGTACTTAAGTTTCTAATTTCCTATTCAACTCTGACAGATTGTTTCAGACAGTTGATGAGAACCATAATGGGTATCTTTCGGCTAGTGAATTAAGAGCACTTATGGTAGGAATCCGGTTTAAGGAGATAGACTGGGATAAGGATGATGCTGTTGATAAAGTTATGAAAGATTTTGATACCTCCAATGACAACTTGATTAGTAAGGCTGAGTTTGTAGCTGGTGTCAAAAAGTGGCTTAGCAAGGCAAAGCGAGTTGGGGGATATTTACCTGGTTCTGGTCCCCAAACATTTAAAGTTATAGGAGATTTTAGCCTGGTAAGTTGAAAACTGATGACTTATCTGGAGATATCTACCTCTACCACCTGACATCTTCTATTTCATCTACAGAAAACTAGGAGAGAGCATCGCCTGTTGGGCGCAGATAAGGAACAAAGTGATGAGGTCGTTGAGGGTGTTGAAAATCCTAGGTTGACCGCAGATGGGGAACAAAGTGATGAGGTTGTTGAGGGTGTTGAAAATCCTAGGTGGACCTCCTTCAAAGCAGTACTATTGCTGTTGCTGGGAACTCTTATTGCTGCTGCTTTTGCTGATCCCCTGGTTGATGCCGTTGATAATTTTTCAGATGCAACGAGCATTCCAACATTCTTCATTTCATTTATTGCATTGCCGTTGGCCACCAACTCTAGTGAAGCTGTATCTGCCATTATTTTTGCTAGTCGTAAGAGGCAGAGGACAACCTCCTTGACATTCTCTGAGGTTTGCTTCTTTTGCTAATCAATTATTGAGTTCGCTTACACTATCCATTATTTGTCAAATGCAGTAAGTGTTGCCATGTAATCTCATTTCTAACTTTCTTGATGCAGCTTTATGGGGCAGTAACCATGAACAACGTCCTTTGCCTGGCAGTTTTCTTAGCACTGGTTTATGCGAGGGGATTGACATGGGACTTCTCATCTGAAGTGCTGATAATTCTTATCGTTTGCCTTGTGATGGGAGCCTTTGCCAGTTTCCGCACCACATTCCCTCTATGGACATGTTCAGTGGCTTATATTCTCTATCCTTTCTCCCTGGCGCTGGTTTATGTTCTGGATTATGTCCTTGGTTGGTCATAAAGTCATGATTCTTGAATAATAGAAGATTAGCTTGGGGAGGTAAGTGAATGTCTAGAACTTTGCGGCTTTTACCAAGTATCACCTTTACAATTTCTGTTTGCTATTATTATCATGAGCATGATGTCCTTCGAGTAAGGGCCACTTTTCTAAGGGCCTAAATTTTGCAGTCCAACCAACTGCAACAGCGATTCATGTACTGTTATTATTATTACAACTATGCCCATTTGTGATATCCCAAAATTTGGAGACCTAAGTGGGGCTGAAACGTAGTCACCACTACCAGTCTGCAGCTTATAATGAAGGGTCAGATTTAGAAACCCTACCTATATCCCAACCAAAAGATACAGACTATGAGACTAAACTTTAATTAATTCCCCCATAAATCCACTAGCAGTAGTCTGTTACCAATCAAGTGTCAAATCTCATCATTCCCAACACCCAAAGCTTGGCTTTTCTGAAGTGGAGTGTCTGTAGCTTTAATTTTTTAAGCATGAACGAAGCATAAACTTATGAAAGAAGAGCGTTATTTATTTATTTATTTATATTTTTCTGAACTTATTTCTAATTTTTAAGTTGTCAAGAGATGAAATTAAAACTTTGTACTCATATTCGAAATATAGGTTGTTTGTTTGTTTGTGTTTTTTAACCTATTTTTAAGTAATTATTTTTTTTATAATATAAAAATGATAATTTACTACATACGAAAGTTTTTGTTAAAAAAGCGTCGCATAAAATTAAATGCAAAAATTAAATAACTTATATTTTGCACCTAATTTTTTGAATTTTTGAACTTTTAAAATCATTTAACATAATTTTATGATTTAAGGTTCTCACAAACCCAACTTTTTCCACTTCCCTTCTCATTTTTCTTTTTCATCATTTGGATGAAATTATTTAGGGAGTCCATAGAAGGAAACACTGATAATAAATTCTCAGGATCCATCTTTAGATGTACATGTGAGTCTCTTTATTAATGAACGGCTTGTCCCTGAAAGATACAAGAGAAATGAGCACAAAAAAATGTGCTATATGCAAGGACTAATTATAACTTCAAATTGAGATCAACACTTTCCCCTACTTCTCCTCCACCATTAAAAGTGGATGCTTGCCCAATTTGCACCATTGATGACGGGAAGAAACTATAGTATGGCCGCTGTGGATTCAATCCGCCGGCCAGTCCTTGCCGTATACTTGAATCTTCCATGCATCCCTTCGTTAGCAAATTTGTAAAATTATAGGCAGTTAATTGCACATTAAAAATGAAGAAACAGAAAGGGGGAATATGGGTATTTGTTCTTAAATCTTACTTGTTGGTAAGGAAGTGATTCAAAATCCGGGAATTCGAAATTGTAGAAGGGTAAATTAGGTGGAGGATGCTTGGATTTTAAGCTTGGAGACATTGAAGTGGAAGATGGAGGGGCTAATGTGAGAAAATCTCCATTGAAAACCTCATTCTCTTTGAAGCTCTTCTTTGAATTTAGTTCCAAATTAGAGGTTGAACGTGGGGGTTCTTCTCTGAATATTATTCAAAAAAACACAATAAGAAACGAAAATTACGCAGCTATACAACTACGAATAAAGATCACAATCAAGCAAACCTGAAAATGGGATTGATGGAACCAAAATTCATTGTCTGTCCATTTCCACTTGAAGCTTGTTCATCTGATCTGTTGATGGGATGAGTAATAGGAGCATAGTTGTAGTGGACAGAGGGGGCTACTGGATTGTCTAGAGGGAAGGAATATGGCCTATTCTTTCCAGCCGTCTATATCAATTTCATCCCATAGATTAAAATAAAAAAATAAAAAATAAAAAGAAAGAAAAGATTCATTGATGAGACGTCTAGTTCTGAAAAAGAATTTCCTTCTAACACAAAACTTCATGACAGAAATAATGTATACTATGGTTGGAAGCAAAAATTTACATACCTTCTCCTCTCGAGACCAGAAAATTGTACAATTTCCATAGAAGTTTTGGTTTGAAGGGGGCTCCATTTGAATATTCAGGAGGGACGGTGTTGAAGTTGATGATGCATTCACCTACAATATGTTAAATGGATGTGAATTCTATATCCAAACGCAAATCTATAATGAAAGAGACAATAATTCATGATTGGAGTATTTACCACTGCAGAAGAATGTTGCTTGTATTGTTGTGCTCTATGCATCAAATTAGGCGGAGGCCAAATTGGTTCTGATTCATAAGGCAAACGGAAGTTTGCTTTAAATGCTAATCCTGGATCCACCCCAGAATTCTCTTTTTCAAGATCATACTCACGAACACTCCAGAACTTCTGAACATTAACATTTCCATGGCCTGGAACTGCACCAGGTGGCCATCCTAGAGGACTATATGGTAATGGAATATCAATGTCTTCAGCAGATGGGTCAGGTCTAAAGATTGAATTTACTGGAGCATGACTGCCAGGAAATGGTATTGAAGGAGTGGAAGAAGATTGATTTGGGGGATGATGGAAGGCCGGAATTGGCATGGAGAGGTATGAAGATTTCTGGGATGGTGAAATGGTTGTGGGAGATGGAGATGGCAGAATTGCAGCTGCAGCAGCTACAACCCCATCTTTCTTCTGTTGTTCTTCTAGTCTAATTTTCTCAAGCTGTGCCACACCAAGCCCTCTTTGTGGGACTTTCTTAGGCTTCTGCCTTTTGAAAGATCTGCCAAAATTTCCAATCCCTCCCCCACCAACACTGCCAGCACTAGTGCTGCACTTTTGGCTACGTTCTTCTTGAGACATTCTTTTCACCTTCCATCTACTAACAAATCCAAAATAACAGTTCCCTTTTTTCTCAAGATAATTTTCACACAAACAAAGAAACAAAACACTTGGTGATCAAAAGGCCAAATCTTCAATCTTTTACAGGATATCAAGAATTTTCCTGAACAAACACGAACAAAGATTCAGAGACAAACCCAAGTTCTGATTGGGTTGTTCTTGCTATGAAGAACAAACACACTGAGAAAATCCTGAAGCAAACCCAGATACAGAAAATTCAGAAAATCTTTGTATTCCAACAAACAAGAATTTGAAACCAAGACATCGAAGCATAATTAATAACAACAATAGAGAAGAATCTAAATGAAACCACAAGAACCAAAGTTGAAAAAGGATACCCAAAATCTCGCAGGCTTTTGGAGTCAAAGAGAAGGAGGAACAAACCCAAGAGCCTAGCCAAAGTTTTCGACCAAAAAAAAGAACAATTCAAGGAAGAAGTTTCAGAATTTTCTCAAAAATCTCTGTCTAGACAGCTCGGAAAATCAGATCAAAATACATACTAAAAAGTGCCCCCCCCTTTTTTTTTTCCTTTGTTTTCGAAATTCAAAACCATGCAAATCTATGAAAATATATTTTCTTTCCCATTTCTCGCCCAAATCCCCGCTCCACTTCACCCTTATTCATTCTTAGACCGACTCTCATGAAACTTTCCCATACTTTCTCTCTCTTAAATTATGTAATGCCATATTCTTCTTCGTTGAAGTCTGAACTCCAAAAGTAGCCCAAAGTGCCAGTAAATTCAAGCAAATGTCACCTAAGCTTGTTTGTTTGGATTTTGGTATTTTGCTGATTTTGGTCCCTAAAGTGGGGCCCATAAATTGTTTCCTACCACATGCATAGTTATTGACTTATTACCACGGAATTGATAAAGCCACACAAAAATATTATTCAATTGTTTAGTTAATTTAATAAAATAATTAATATTTATTTTAAAACAATTATTGTTTTTTAAAATTTGTATCAAATTAATTATTTTTATTTTTTAATATAAATAAATATTTTTTATTTTAATTTTTTTATTATTTATTTATTTTCATTAATTATCTAATTATAAAAAATCTCTCTTTATTTTTTAAAGAATATTATAAATAAAAATAATTATTGTTTTAATATTTTAATTTAAAAATTTTAGAAAAACAATTATTTTAAAATAAAAAATATTATTTAAAAAATTAAATTAAATTATAAATATCATAATATTTTTAAATATTATAATTAATTCTTTTTAAAAAATCATAAGTTAATAAAATAATTTAAAATTAACACAGCTATTATAATATAATATTACTTATGCGGCGTTAAGAAAAGGCCGTGCATTAAGAGCCGTGGGCTAGAAGCAAATACTTGAGAAAAGAAAACCTGCTCTTCTTTTTCTCAAGTTTGGGTCACATCATTTTCAGTCTTTGCTTTGGTTTTGGCCAATAATTCGGCTTCCTCCCCTTATTTGGCATTTGCACAATTATATGATCTTATTTTGGATTGTGGATGTCACATTTGTTAATGAATTGGATAAGCTATACCAGCAATAGCTTAATTCATTCATCATTTACTAGTTTTAAAATGATTTTTTATCTTATATCTTTATGATATATGTTAAGAGTATAATAAATATATTTTTTGTAATTAATTTTTATTAAAAATATAAATATTGATTTCGATTTAATTAATTAATCAATTAAAATATTTACGTATCAATAATATTAAAATATATGTTAATTTTTATAATTGTTATGTAAATTAATTATAGAAATTATATTTATTATATTCTTAATATGTATTTTTAGAATACTGGTTAGACAAATTCATTTTAAAATTATAACAAAGTTAATGTTTTTAACTTCTTCAATGCTTGAAGAAAAAAAAAAAAAACTTTTTCAATGTTAAGCATATTGACCTTAAAAAGTGAAAAAAATTATTATTGTGAGAAAAATAAGTTGAATCCTTAATAGCAATTTGAAGGTGTCAACATCTCTAGGAGATCTTTCAACCGTGTATTTAATTCATTACTAGTCACTGTTTGTTGGCATCTTACCCTCAAACACATACAATTAGTAGACCTGGCTTGGATGGCCCAAGTAGTGCACTAGCCCACCTTTAAAATTTGGCATGTATTGGGTTTTGTCCTGGCAATGACATCCCTAATTCTCAAGATCGTTTGGAGAAAAATCAATCTCACACTGCAAAAGTTAGTTTAGAAATTCAATATTTAAATAAAAAAAATTATACAATTAGTGAACTTATTGTATGACTAATTCCAAACCAACTTTCTTAGAATAGACAAATTGTCGGTCTTGAAACTGAACTCTAAAATCCATCCATTTAAATCCAATCCACTTTATTCTCTTGCTCATTCAAGGTAAAAGTAAATTAATTATGATATCTTCCTCACTTGATATTTCCCTATATTGGCAGATCAAGTCTAGCTGGGACATTTCTAAAAATTACAGACACTAACACTCAACAAGAAATTAAACTTTGCCTTAGCAATTAAAGACAAACCTTACTTTATCATGTAATTGGAAAACTTTAATTTTAAGATCTCGTGTTTAAATTTTACATGAATGGAACTATCTTTTGTTATATAGTTTACAATTCAATGTACTAAAAATTAAAGAAGACAAGATGTTGAACCTATCATACATATAAGCTAATCAAACACACCTGGGAACATATATTAGCTAAACATGTTTTCTGTGATAACCACTAGCTAGGAGTCAGTTTTGCCAACAGATAGAAAGCCTTGGATGCAAAGGGATATAATTGTTAATGAGTTAGCTTCTCAACTCAACTTAATTATATTAAATTTTTATTTTTTTAATTTAAATGTATTAAATTAAATTTGAGTATTTAATTGAGCTGTTGAGTTTGAATTTAATATATTTGAACTCTACAAAATAAAATTGAACTCAACTTGTTATTGTATTATTGTATTATTGAACTCAAGTTTGAGTTCTAACTAACTCAACTCGCTTGCCTCGTTTACAGCCCTAGAAGGGGAGAAGAGCAATGTGGAAAGGACAGACAAACAAATTGAGGGGTCATGACAGACTTGGAACTACCAGTTTCTACCTTGCCCTCAACAAACCGTCCCTAACATATTCTAACTTTTTTGTCTTCAATAAACCAAACCATATCCACAGGATATAAGGAGTTAAGGACCCCATGATATCGTCCTACACAAGATACCAAGATTTTGTTAGATACACAAAATATATATAAGGACCCCATATTTCTCTTTCATCATTCCACCTTCTTGTTTTCTTATTTACTCTTTTCTGTTCTCTTGGACACAAAGTTATCCTGATGGAAACATCAACGCTGCAATTGGAGTTTTATGGCAATAATTCAAGAGGACGAAAGGCTTGAAACTTAAGCAAGATGTCAGTGTTGTTGTCTCGAATTTTGACTTCAATACCCACAGTATTGATGTATATGCTACAATGGTTTATTCATGGATTGTCCGTTGTGGAATATCTCAAGCTCCGGATGTTGATACACTAACCGAATCACGTAAATTCTTTATTCGTTGTATTGGGTGATGATGTTTTGGGTCTTGGACCTTGGCTATGCTTAGGCTCAAAAGTAATTTGGGTCATTAAAACGAGCCCGTCTACTGCAAGGAATAAGGAGTGCAGAATCGAATATTGGGTATGAATCCATAGCTTTGTTATAAGTGGGGAAAATGGAACCGAACATGAGTCACAACGACTGAGGTCCTGTAGCTCAGTTGGTTAGAGCACTGGTCTTATGAGCAAGAGGTCACGAGTTTGAGTCTCATTGAGATCACTTTGTTTTATTAGTATTTTTCAATGATATTGTTACAATGTCATCATAATAATTATATCATTTTTTAATCCAATCATGGTGGCTACTTATTTTATTTTATTGGATTTTATTAGAGCAACTAATATATTAGTTAAAAATCCAATAATGGGAAAATACGACTAGATAATTAATTTTCAATGTCTTGTAACTCAATTGATTAGAGAATTGGTCTTATGAGCCAAAGGTTGCGTGTTTGAATCTCGCCAAGAACACTAATTTTTATCAAAGCAATTAATGTTAATAAAAATCCAATCATGGGAAAAACCATTCTACCAAATCACTCATCATGCTACCAAAAGAGACCCAGAGATTCCTTATTCTTTTTGATATCAAATGGTTAGGAGAGCAACTATCTAGCTTTGGAAAAAACAGCTGATTCTTCAATTCAACCTTCCTGGACAGTGACTGCTGGTCCTCCAGAAAGATCAAAAAGCACCATCATTCTAGTTGAGTTGTCAAGGCTAAAGAATGAACCTCTCAACAATATCACTCTCTATTATATGTTTGCACTCTTTTGGATTCTTCCACAACCAATGTCATGTCCTGTTCTTTTCTTCCCTAGTAAGTTTCTTCATCTCCTTTAATCTCCACTTTATTCATCTCTTTAACATTTTCATTTTTCTTCGACCAAAATTTGCTTCCAAATGGCTACATGGTTAATGGAATTTGTTCAATTAGCTTTTTTTAGTTTTTACTGTATTGTTAAAGGATATAGTCCCTTGATGATAATTATTGTTCGAGTCATGCCATCAAGACTAAGGTAAAAAAAGGTTTACCTTGCTACTAATGGCTCTAATCAGGATAAATTTTCTTCTGCCAGGTTTATGTTAGTTTCTGTACCACCACTGCAACTTATCTAAATGGGTGCTGGAGACTGGTTCAGGTCATTCATATGCTTGAAGAAAGTGAAGAATGGTACATCCAAACAAGTACAGCAGCCGAATAATGGTGGCAATCATGAACACATAGCTGCTATCAGGATTCAGACCGCTTACCGGGCATACAGGGTATGATTTCTATACCTGAATTACAATTTTGGTAAAAGCAAGTTTATGGTGTGCATGATCTATGTCAAAAACTGTTTCATCAGATGCTCAAACTGTCAGAAGGTTCGAGAATAGTATCAGTTTCTAATAGTATTAGATCTTTGTTCTTGTAAGGCAAGAAAAGCTTTTAGGAGACTGAACGGTGTAAGGAGATTCAATGAGTTGGTACAAGCGCATCCAGTTAAGGAGCAAACGTCTTCAACTTTAAGCCATTTACATTCATGGTGTGATATACAGTCCAGGATAAGAGCTCGCCGGCTGTGTATGGTCACAGAAGGTCGGATTAAGCAAAAGAAACTGGAAAATCAAATGAAACTGGAGGCTAAGCTTCATGAGCTGGAGGTAGTTATGACTCTCACTGACTCTGGTCCTCATTTGGATCAGCAGCTTGCTTAACGTTTTATTGGATTACTAGAAACTGAATCAAGAATAATCCCTCTACACAGGTGGAATGGTGCGGTGGCTCAGAAACCATGGAGGAAATCCTGTCCAGGATTCAACAGAGGGAAGAAGCAGCTGTGAAGCGCGAACGAGCCATGGCTTATGCCTTTTCTCATCAGGTCAGATCTCTCAACTGAGAAGATTACCATATTATCTCATGTTTTGTTGCTTCTAGAGGTTAAACAAGTACTGTTTGTATAACTTGCAGTGGAGGGCAAATGCAAGCCAATACCTGGGGCAAACCTCCTTCAACCTGGGGAGAGAAAACTGGGGATGGAGCTGGAAGGAGAGATGGATAGCAGCTCGGCCGTGGGAGGTCAGGGTTGTATCTCAGGGCAGCCACCCAAAGAAGGCTAATGGAAAGCAAGGAAGCAAAGGAGGGGAAGAAGTGAAAGATCCAGACCCGGTTATATCTGCTTTGCCAAATGGGAAGGTTGCTGCTCCTAAACCCAAAAAAGTTGCCCCAGCAGATGGGTGAAGGACAAGAATGTCCAAGCAGCATTTTTTTTTTATTTTATAATTTTCAAGGATTTGAAACTTTGGTTGGGACTATATTTTTTTAAGAATGTTAATATATTTAAGAATGTTATTAACTTTAAAAAAAAATGTTTATAACTGATATATTTACCATATAAATTGTAAAATGAAATATTTCAATATATCTTGATTCATTTATCAAAAAATTATCAGTCCAATTATATTCTCTTTCCTTTTAAAGTAAAAATTCTAAATTTAACCGGCAACACATTGGAATACCGTCAAAATGTGCTTATATAGTTACCATACACAATAAAGAACTTTTCCCAAAAAAAAAAAAACATAATAAAGAACTCATCAATGGGCAGTAACATGCAAAACCATGTTTAAAGTATGCAGAAAATTGGGAATAATTCATCTAGGATATTCAGAAACCTATTCTGTAGATCCATCTTGTGCACGTACCAACAATCAAAAAGCAGATGTCAGAATCGCAATATAAGCCATAATTTTTTGTTTTATTCAATTCTTTTTCTTTTTTTCTCCATGTTAATTTGTTTACCCCCTCCTAAAGGGAATAAAAATTGCCAGCTGCTAGGTTACTAGATTTTTATTATCGAGTGGGATTTATCAGGGTCGGCATTGGGGGGACCATTTACAAATGAGAAAAATACCAAAACTGTTGGTTGTATCCATCTGTGCATTCTCCTCTCCTCCCAATTCTCCCCTGATTTAAGGCTACTTCATGAGTTCATCTCCATTCTCCTTTCATGGTTCCCTCCTGCAGATGTATTCCCTCCCTGCCCCACCCTGTTCTATCTACTAAACTCATCTAACATGATCATTGATATCACGACTTAAAGATTCCTCCACATAAAATTCAAAACCCATCCTATCTTTTTCACTAATACAAAGGGTACAGTGTTATGTGCTAATTTTGGCAACAGAAATTTAAAGGTAGTAATCAAATGCTTGCTTTTCTTTCGTTAAAGAAGATGACATTGAACTTCAACTAATAATATGAGGAGTAGGGTTGTAAAGCTCTACCGTGTTCAGTGTTTCTTTAATGCTGCAGAGGTGTCTAGTTCAGCATTCAAGTTCAAGTTTTGGTCAATTATGAACCCCAAGAAGCTAAAAGGCAAAACATAATGGAAATGGAGTAAATCACAGTAGTAATTATTATTAACACTCGGGAAAAATTTTTTATTTTAAATGAACTAGCAAACTAGCTACCCCATCCCCACTAGAAATCGTACTGTTCAAAGAAAATGACTTCTCTTACGGTGCCCCCAAACAACCGAGCAGCGATAGAGATGTAAGAGATTGGTAATCCTTTGAATTCCTTTTGCAGGCCTAAGGAGCTTGTTGTGGCACAAAATCGTTCAATAAGAAAAGCAGCAAAGCAACAAAGCAATCACAAATGCAAATCCTCCTTTTGCATCTACATGAGAAATTGACTCTTCTTCAAATAGAGGAAAAGGCTTAGCTGATCAAAGACACATGGGATATAGTGAATAGATGCAAAAGGGTAAGAATTTCCCATGTTTGTTTCACAAGAGATTTCAAAAGAATGCCGGATTCTGCTTATCCAGTGTGTTCTAATCTAGGAAAGCATCAAATCTGGGTTAGAAAAAACTAGCTTTGCTCTTAATAGAAATCCTACCAACAGCAGCAATAACACCAAACATACATGATATTCAAAGTTAAGCAATATGAAATACATAGCAAATTCAGCAAGCAAAGTTGAGCTCTAGCGGCTCACTCAAACCACGAAGATACAACTACACTACAACACAATCAACTGAAATCATAGAAACGAAACGAAACAAACCCGGGATCGGAAAACCTAAGCATTCATCTAGATTTCTTCTTCCCGTGCTTAGGCCATTGATTCCAAGACACCAAAATCTCCCTCAAAGCAGTCAAGAAGCAATTTTTATCATGGTCTCATCAAATTTCTGCTCAATAATCAGAATCCCTGAAAGAAAGTTTCCATAGATAGGCAGTTTGTAAGTTCAAGATGAAGTAAAAATGGAAATTAGGAAGGAAAATAGGCAACTTTATTAAAAGTGGCACCTTATAGAAGGAAAAGACTTTGGCTTTTTCTTTGTTCAATCAATGGCGAGAGTCAGAGGAAGCAGAGGACGGCTTCTGGGGGTTGCCGTCGTGCTCCTCTTCATCGCCCTGAATTCGTGCTGGAATGCGAAATCCAGAGAATCCGCCTGAAGAGGCAAACCCAATACCGGAAATTGCAGATTGGTGATGGATAGTATGTGGAATTTGATGGTGGTCCGCGGCTGTAATTGGCTGGTCTATCCAAGCACGAATTAAGGGCGTGTTACTGGACTGAAGGGGTCCCCTCTGAAAAAACAACTGGTTGTTGTGGCCGAAAAAAGGCTGCAGCGGCGGCTGCTGTTGTGGATAACTAAAGGTTAGTCCTCCACCGCCGCCACCACTGCCACTACCAGTGTCTGCAGCAGCACTGTTCCAAGTCATCATTTTCTGGAACCGAGCAATATCTACCGGATGTGCGTGGTGCTCCCATCCAGCTGAGGACGCATCAAAGCCCCCTAGCGGGGCACTTCCTGGGAATAGCACTGGTTCACTCTGGTGAGTATGAGTCGGCGCTTGCTGGTGCAGAAGAATCGGCTCCTGAAATGACTGCAGTGAAAGGCGCAGATCTTGGTTCTGGCTGCTGGTCCTTGAGAGCAAATCCGGTGGGTAACTCTGAAACTGCATCGAAGACGATGGCGTCTCCGTCGACGCACCCATTGGAAAGAATGACTTAATTGTGTCGGCAATTGCATCAGAGTCTAAGGACGGCGGGAGGAAGCTCGAATTATTGCTCGGATTTTCACCCATTTCTCCGTGTTGAAGATTCTGAACTTCACTCCCTACCATCGTCACCGTCCTCCGGCTGCTTCCAGAACCTTCAGCGAGATTCTCAACCACGTTACCTTGGTGGGTATGAAACTGAAAATCGTTCTCCTTGGATTGTTGTTGATTATTCGATTTTGTCCGGACAGTGTTCGTCACGGTTTCTGGGTTCCATGGAGGCAGCTCGGCGAGCTCGTCAATAGCGGGTTTGGCTTTCTTGATGAGCCAATCTACGGCCTTACTGGGTCGGTCATACCCAAGACGGTCCTGCACGTCGTAGAACTGGATGGCGGTGTGAGCCGAAAGCCGGACACGTCGATCTCTTGGACCCTTGGCGGTGCAGACCTTGCTGTGGCGGTCTTTCCTCCCAGTCGATCGAACAATGTGCCCTCCTTGCACCTCCACGATCTCCCCGCCGGCGTGCCTTATTCCCAATCTTGACGATGTTGCGGCTTGGTGGTGACTATCCTCCATTTTCCTCGCATATTCGGTTGCTTGCTGCCCAAAGGTTGAAGGAGAAGACGGAAAGTGAGACCTTTTCTTCGGAGCCGCCGCCGCTGGTGGTTGCTGCAATGCTTGGGTGGCTTCCAATCTTGCGTACAAAAACTGGTCCTGCTGTTGGTGACTTTGAAAATACTGCTTTTGTGGGTCTTCTTCTTCTTCTTCTTCCTCTCCTTCTCCTCCTCTTGAATTTAGAACCAGGGTTTGATGCTGCTGCTCCTGAGGATGATGATGAAGATGATTCCTTTGGGGATCCAGACTCCACCCCTTTTGTTGCTTTTCCTGTTCCAGCTTTTAATGGTGAATACTTTACTCTGTTAATTAATGGGTTGTTGGTTCTTCTTTACTCTGTCTCTGCGTCCTGATTTCCTCTTCTTGTCTGTGCTGCTGCCACCACACCAAAACCTGATATTTCTGCCTCTCCCGAGAGGCACTGCCATTGAATGTTCCCAATTCCATCACTCCAAAGCAAAAAAACAACAAAAACTGAAATCCCCAGAAACCCTAAAAAAACGCAATCTTATTAACCCTCTCTCCCCCCTCTAACCCATCTCTATCCTTTCCTTCTCTTTCTCTCTTTCCCTCACTTTCCCCCTTTTCAATTCGGCTACACAATAAAAGCTAATAAAAACTCAAGATGGGTTTTCTTCCCATGGTTCCTAGAGGGAAACGAACAGGAAGGGACAGAACCACAGAGGTGGTGGATGAACAGTAAATATAAGGGCAGGAGGAAAGGAGGGAAGATAGAAGAAAGAGTACAACTTTGTTGACCTATATAAGAGGAGTCCTTGTTAGATGATGATACCACAGGCAAAGTTGACAGTGTTGGTCAGAGAAGAGATTAAAGATATCCGCGTTTCTAATCTCTGCATCTCCTGCTGTTCTTTGTAGAAGTTTGTACTGCTCCGCAACACTAATTTAAACAAACCAAAAAAAAATTACAGCGACCATAAACTCAAACCCCAAAAATAAAAACTCTCCTTCTGTTTAGATTCATTATTCTGATTCAGTTGATAGCTAATACATAGTAAATATACATATATTTTTTGGCCATTAGTAAATATATAATAGATGGCTTATAATTGTAATTGTTTATAATTTAAGCACTTTAATTTATTTAAGAATTTATGAACATAGGATAAAAAGTAATTATTAATTAATAATTATTATTTTTTACCTTAAAAGTAATAAAATTGATTTTTGTTTTAATTATGAATGTCATGTATCTAATTTTTTTGTTAGTTTATTTTAAATTATAAAACAAAAGTTATTTTTTAATTTAAAATTTCACATTTAAAAAAAATATATCACAATTATTATCCAATTATTACTTCTTATCTATCATTACTTCTTATCTTGTGTTCTTAGACAAACCCTTTATTTAATGAGGGTCAATGCTTGACATTTATTTTTGACAAATTATAATATATAGTTAAGCACTAAAAATATCTATCTATTTTTTTAATTCATTATTTAACTTTAGATATTCTAATTTGATTTTTTTAAACATTAGTTTCAATTAAAAAATTTTTAAAAAATAATGAATGACAATCAAAATTTTTTTCCTTATGTGTAATTTTTTATTAAGTAGTTTGATTTGGTAAAAAAAATTCAATTATTATTACTTTGTTAAATTTTTTACTCAAATTAATATTTAAAAATTTTAAAAATAAATTACGAGAACTAAAATTAAATTGTGGTAGAGAAGAATAATCAAAATTTTTTTCCTTATGTGTAATTTTTTATTAAGTAGTTTGATTTGCTAAAAAAAAATTCAATTATTATTACTTTGTTAATTTTTTACTCAAATTAATATTTAAAAATTTTAAAAATAAATTAAGAGAAGTAAAATTAAATTGTGGTAGAGAAGAATAAATATTCCTTTGTTATTTTTGTCTAGTTTTCCTTATAAATATATTATTAATTATAGTTAGAAACTTAGTGATTTTGCTGAATTTAACTTCTATGGATGATTTTTCTTTCTTTACTTCTTGGTTAGAAGTTAAAAAAGTTTGGTTATGGTTGAATAAAATTGTTTGATAGTAGAAGGATAGGTGGATGGATAGCTACTCTTATATGCCTTGCCACCATCACAGCTTTTGAAAATGACCTCCTCACAGCTTTTTTATGCTTTCTCTTTCTTTCTTTATTGCTTCACTTAAAAGAAGCAACATCATCTTCTCCCTCAAATTTCCCTCCCCCAAACCACCTTTTTTTGGGCTTGTTGGATTACTCAACTTGGCATCTCAAGAGCATGCCTTTCCCACATTTTCTTGTTTTCATTCTCCTACACAAACCAATGTTATCATTGTTTATGGAACACTTGTCTTCTTGTCTACTCTAGTCCACATTTTTCTTACATTTGGCTTTCAAGTCTAGTCACCCAATTTACTTATATTGGCCTTGCCCTTTAATCTCTGTTTTCTTGAATTCCTAAGTGTTTTTTTTATATTTTTTTTGGTCTCTAGCATTTGAGCTTCTAATTCCATTAGTCTTCTTCTTCTTCTTTTTCCATTTTTTTTTTCAAATGAAGCTATATGCTATTATTTTGGAACCCAATTTAGTGGTCAATTATTCACAATCCAAGTCTAAAGGCTTTGAACCCTTATGTTGAGAGTTCCATTTTTTTTCCCCACCTAACTTAATTAGTTCGATTCTTCCGCACTGCTGTAACTTCTATGAGTTTAACTTATACATCCCCGATTCTCATGTTAAAGACAGTTTGGAAATATATATACTTCTTTTCTTAGCAATACAAGTTGTACAGAGAAAAGTAAAAAAAAAAAAAAAAGAAGAAGACTTCCTAGCATTTAAAATATTAGTATTACTTACGAAAATTTTCAAATACCTTTAATGAATCATTTTTTATGTTGATTCATTAAACTTATTTAAGTATTTTTTTTAATATTTTAATTGTTAGAAATAACTGATTTTCAACAATTCCATTTATATTTGTACTAATTTCCTTTGAATTGTTAAGATAGTGAATTAGAATTTGACTCATATTAGTTCTATCCAATTTTAAAATCACTCCAAGGTTTCAATTTATTATTAAAAAGAGAAAGAGACAGAAGTCACAGAACACAGCGAGAGCAGGCCTTATTGACAACGGATTTTTGTTTTTTAAGTTTTTTTCAGTATATAAAGACTAATTAAGGATTGAATTATAAATCTTATTAACAAGTGATTTTTTTTCATGTAATTTTTTATATGTAATTTTTATTAAATAAATAATTATTTGTGAAAACTTTATTCCCATCATTTAAAAAACTTTGTTGTAACTAAGCAATCTAACTTTTTTCTAGTTTTGAAAAACAAACAAAAAATAAGGGTAATAGTTTTTTTTTTTCTTTGTTGCATAGATTGGCTTAATTGTCTCACTTTCTCTCCTTTTTTTTTCAAATTTTTTACTTTTATTTTTTCAAATTTTAAATCTAAAAGAAATTCTTGGTCTAGTGACTTTAAGCCCTTTCCACATTTCTTATAAGTACCTTTCCCTTCTAAGGAGTGCATATTTAGTTTTCACAAGTCACAATCACACTCAAGATTCTCAATCTAGCACATTGTGAAGGGAGTCTTGCCCATGCCTCATTTTCATGAGGCTCAACACTTCCAATTTGCCTTATTCAAAGAGAGTTTGAAAATGTGAAAAGGATTTCCTTCAATTATTCTTGCTCTTGGGAGTAGTACACTACGGGAACCGACCAGCTATCTAAAATCGAATCGTGTTCAGATTTTACTCGTAAGCCCACAAAGTCAATTCACAACTCAATAATAGCATCGATTTCACACGTGCCTCCTTACGAATAAGCTTATCAGACTTGATGTTACAGCCATAGGTTAAATCATAATAATTTGTTGGATTGATCCAAGTTGTTTAATAGTGATTTTTCGTTTTATAAATTTTTGGTTAGGGTGTTTTTAACCTAGTTTTTATGTATTTTAAAACTAATATATTTTTGGATATATTTAAAGGCGCATTCAAAATTAATTTACTACATTCAAGGAAATTAAACCTTACACTTAACCTATAAGACAATAATTATTTACTTGTGGATCCAACCATTAGGATTATTTAAGAGTGATTTGAATTATGTTAAGAATGTGAATTTGAATTCTTTTAGTATTATTGTACTTTTTTTGAACAATAATTCGTGTTAATTGATATTGAAAAAATAAAAATTAACTTTTATTTAATTAATTATTTAATTAAAATAAATTACATAACATTAATGGTAAAATTAATGTTAATTTTTGTATTTTTGATGGTGAAATTAAGGTCGGTTTTGGTATGATCTTCTAAAATGTCTAATAAGATGGAGCAGGACGATTTTGGTGAATTTTGTGTTAGCAACGTCCTTGGTGGGGCAATGTGCAATAAAATTTTACTTCTGGAAACACTGGTGATAAAATCTAAGACACCAAACGTTGACGTGCACGATTTCTACTTCTTCATGATTATATGTTAGAACTTTAGGGTTACATAAATATAATAACAATTTGTTACGACATCCTTTTACAGGACAGTATTATATAATTATTTAGTACAAGATTGTATTCAAAATTCTAAACTATATGTTGTTTTATAGTTAATAATTTATTTATACACAAAATTTATGTATTATATTTATATAAAATTTTAATTATTTATTTTTAATTTTTAATGATTAATATTTATTACGACTTTTTAGGTAAAAATAATAAATATCATAAAAAGTTAATAAATCTCAAAAATTGATAATAAAAAGATAAATAATTAAAATTTTATATAAATGTAGTATATAAAATTTATATGTAAATGGATTTTTACTCTTTTTTTATATATTGGTATCTTTCATAGAATTGGAATATCATAAAAAGTTAATAAATCTCAAAAATTGATAATAAAAAGATAAATAATTAAGATTTTATATAAATGTAGTATGTAAAATTTATATGTAAATAGATTTTTACTCTTTTTTTATATATTGGTATCTTTCATAGAATTGGAAAAAATTAAAATGTTTTAACAATTAAAATATCAATAATGATAATAAAAAGTAAAATATTTTTAATAAATAA